GGTGCTCTTAGGCCAGCCAGTGGCCGTCCATCACGTTGCAGGACATGCAGTCGGACATACGGTAGCGGTCCATGATGGAGTCGCAGTCGTCCATCAGCTCGTACATCTGACCTCCGAAGTTCTCCCTCTCGTAGATCTTCATCCTGTAGGAGCCTCTGTGCTGTAAATCGCAAAACAATTTCACAGTTCACATCAATGTGGAGTCAGACAAATGTCAGATTTGTATGATAGTAAAGGTCAGGGCACCTTAAACACAACCTGATGCTTACCATGGGGATCATACGGCAGGACCTGATGCACCCACTCCATCCCCACATGCTCATGTAGTCAGCATACTCGCCCCTCTTCATGAAATACTGGTTTCCCATGTAGTTGGGCCGGTCATAGACCATGAAGCAGCCGCTCTCCACCCTGCAGGAATGACACTTGTTCAGGTAGGAGGACATGTCGGCACAGTCGCTCATGCACTCATAGGAGCGACCCATGAAGTTCCTGTCCTCGTAGAAGATGATCTGAAAAATAACACATACAATTTAGATTACTTATATTAAGTTGGCAGTGGAAGAACAGACAAAATTTCATAACTGATGTTCTGCACCAGCTGCAGCTGTAAACTGTGGTACTGGAAATTATCTGTGGACTTACGGTACCTTGCCCATGGTCATGTCAGTGGTGCTCATAATTGTTCGTGAGCTGCTGCGAATGCTGCTACTGCTGTACTGCTGGTTTACTCTTGCTTTTATACGTGACCAAACCCTATAGTCAGTGGGCCCCCATTGTTCAAAACCCTGACACAGCAACATGGTATAGAGCCCTGCATAGGCCTCTTTTACTGTGTCCCAGAGCCACATGATTCTGCCCTCAAACACTTTAGAAATGTTACCCCTTTGTTCAGGTAACAAAGCCACTTTTTCACTTCTAAGCTTGCCAAATGTAGTCCAGTTAAAGTTGCTATTAACTGAATTGGTTACTGTAAATAATAATAATAATAGTTGCTGTACTTTTGATGCTATATAGCTGACTGGAAAAAAAGGAATTCATTCAGCAAACATTGAACAACTTACCAAATATACAATAGCAAATGCTAAAAAAAAGAAAACACTAAGTGATAATAACTGACTACAAATAATTTTATGGTTCAATGCATATGCTGACATACACAATTTAACACAAGGTTTATTAATCTTAATATTGTGTCTGGATTATTGCAATATTGTTGGAGATATTGGCTATACACCTGGTATTAGCCTTTTACCACTCATCAGTCAGTCAGGCAGTCACTCAAAACTTGATATATATTGCACATTTCATACAAGGTAATGCAATTAAAAGTGCTGTACAGATACTTTGATTACAACAGAATAAATGGGAACATTAAACATTTCAACAAACAAGAAGACTAATTCACACAATTTTAAAAAGTTATGGAAAGAGATGTTGTGTTCTGAAGAGACCACCTACATATTAAAAAGTAGTGGCCATAAAATCAATCCTTGGGGGACCCCACAAATTATTTTGATGATTTAGAGAGTGTATCATCAATTGTTACCAAGAATTCTTTGTCAAGAAAATAAGACACAAATTAGTTAAAAATAGGTCCAGGCAGTGTATTTTGATGCTTAAGTCTATTTACAAGAATTTGGTGGCCAATTGTATCAAAAGCAGGGAACAGATCTACCGTATGTATGGATAGATGGACAGGCAGCCCAAAAACATAATGCCTCTGGCTATGACCGTTGCCACACCAAAATTTATCCTTGAATCCAAGTGCTCTTAGTTAATCAGTTTTGTAGTTTTAGTTTAGGTCAGATTTGTTCTGTATGATGAGACATTTTTTTGTATTTCTTGCATTTTAACAAAGTAATTACACCAAGTTTGTTTGTCACTTTCAGCTTTTCCCATTTTTATAGGGGTCACCACAGTGAATCATCACACTGATGACTTGCATGTTGACATTTGTCACGTGTTTCGCACCGAATGCCCTTCCTGACGCAACTCTGATTGGAACCCAGGCCGCAGCGGTGAGAGCGCTGTGCCTTAACCACTAGCCTACCAGGGACAGCTGAAGTAATTACACCAAGTATATACCATATATATTGTAGTGACCCCTGGGGCTAAATGGTCACTTAGACTTCACCAGTTATGCTGTTGTTGCAGTGACTCATGGGGAAACTAGTCACTGGTATGTTTATTTTTTATTTCATAATGTTGATTTGTTGTAGTGATGTTATTTGTAGCCTAGTTACGTTGACAGGAACTGAGTGGCTGAGAACTGGACTGGGAGAGTTAGTCACTGCTCAGCCTTATTATGACTTCTGTTTAGATCAATAGCATCTCGATTAATGTGTGTGAGGTGTTGTATGATAAAGCCAGCTTTTCCGGAGTTCTGCAGTGTGAGGGGCACTGGAGTAGCACATGAAAACCAAGATCTCTTTTTCTGAGTGTTGATTATAACCCAAGCTCACCACAATACTGTATGTTGTAAAAGTGATAATGCTTTTCAAATTTGTATGTTTCATTTACTAGCAGCAGGGTCTCTAAATACTATAGATGAATTCACAAAGTGATGAAGCTTTTTTCAGTTTTTTAAACACTCATCTCAAATGGCAACACTATTGCACTGAGGAGAAAACAAAATTAAGTCCTGTCATAGGATTGTATATTCCTGTGAATATTTAATCATAAATGACTGAGCCCTGCCATACTGTTCATTAATATATGCATTGTATGAAGGCCATGATATGCTAACCCCTGGACATAGAAACACAGCTTAACCTCTCACACTAAGGTGGCATATTCGAAACATTAAAGTTCCAAATACTGCTTGAGGTTCTTGGCGGAGATATTCACTACGTACATAATTGACTACCATGAACCTGCAAACAATTCCTTGCAGACCTCCCTCATTCATGTCATTAATTCAGGACAAGACCCTAAATCCTCCCCTTAATTTGTAATTAAAATGCAACTGTTGTAGCAATCTGCCTTTGTAAAATGTTTTTTAAAAATGTATACAAATTAATGACTTTGTCACAGTTTTCAGATGCTTTTATTTTGATACATTTCTGCTGTCTCAAGTCATTCTTCACCTCGCTCACTACACACCTGTCCCTAATATGTAATCCAGAAACTTTGTATTTGAGCCAGCTGCTCCTGATCGCTCATAGCCAGGTCATTGTCAAAGACTACTGTCAAGCCACCTCAAGCTTCATATATAATATGATGATTTTTCCAACTAATGTGCTAATGTTTGTAGAAGATTTGTATTGTTATTCAGCATTACCAGAGTTATTTGAATCCTCCTTTCACTAAAATTTTGGATAAAAACCTGCTTGCGTGCAGCTGCTTTCTGACTAAAACATTTCAAATATGTTCTTTAATGACATAATTTACTCATATTATTTCAGTTTGAAGCAGTAAGATGAAAAACACAAAGTCATGCAGCAATGATTTTATTTAATGGCATTTAATACATTCAGTGAACATTTAGTACCAGGAATCCATGATGCGCCTCATGCTCATCCACCTCATCCCACTCATGCCCATGTTCATGAAGTTCCTGTACTCTCCGGGCCTCAGGTACATCATCCTGCCTCTGTAGTGCGGCTGCTCGTACATCAGCCCGTGGCCGTCCATCACGTGGCAGGACATGCAGTCGGACATACGGTAGCGGTCCATGATGGAGTCGCAGTCGTCCATCAGCTCGTACATCTGACCTCCGAAGTTCTCCCTCTCGTAGCTCTTCATCCTGTAGGAGCCTCTGTGCTGTAAATCGCAAAACAATTTCACAGTTCACATCAATGTGGAGTCAGACAAATGTCAGATTTGTATGATAGTAAAGGTCAGGGCACCTTAAACACAACCTGATGCTTACCATGGGGATCATACGGCAGGACCTGATGCACCCACTCCATCCCCACATGCTCATGTAGTCAGCATACTCGCCCCTCTTCATGAAATACTGGTTTCCCATGTAGTTGGGCCGGTCATAGACCATGAAGCAGCCGCTCTCCACCCTGCAGGAATGACACTTGTTCAGGTAGGAGGACATGTCGGCACAGTCGCTCATGCACTCATAGGAGCGACCCATGAAGTTCCTGTCCTCGTAGAAGATGATCTGAAAACAATGGATTGTAATGGTTAGAAAAAAGTAGTAAAGCACATTTATAAACATTAGTTTAAGCTTATTAAAAAGCATTTCTAAATATACCCTGCCCCTCATGCTCAGGTCAGTGTTGCTCATGTTGGCTGCAGATGTGTTCTTGCTCTTGCTCCTGTGCTGCTGTCCTACCTCCTTTAACGCTTTCCTTTTATACCTGACCAAAGGACCAGTGGCCCCCTCAGAGAACCCCTTACTCATCAACTTACTATTGAATGCCATAGAAACAGAGGTTATATGCATTTTCTTTGTCAGGCACCAGGCACCTCGCAGTGTTTAGAAAGGCCTTGTCTTTTAGGGGTGCTTGTAATAATGTGAATACTTTGGCCCATGTGACTGTTAAAAGCTGTGTGTGTGACTGTGTGTTGGGCATCATTTAAATCTGTTTATTTGAAATGAGATTTGCTATATTATTCAACAGAATGTGCATATTTGGAAAACCTTTAGAAACTGAATACTTAAATTATTAAATTGTACACATTTTCATGTTCAGTCATATCATTTAGATCAGGGGTGCCCACACTTTTTTGCCTTGCGAGCTACTTTTCAAATGACGAAGTCAAAATGATCAACCTACGCGCGCACACACACACACACAGACAATAAATGTATGAATGAGTGTGGTAGTTTTTATGAACAGTGTGAAAGTGCCGCTCCACATTTCCCTTCGGAATAGTAGATTGGTGGATCAAGCAAACGCATTTCGAATATAATGTTGTGAAAAAAAAGTCCTCCCATTCCACATGGAATGTTTTCAGTATGTTTTCGGTTTCTTACTTGATTCGGCTCCCCCAATCATTTTATACCCTTTAGTAGACATTAATTCGAAGGCTGACAAGGTAGTTCGCTCACTGGATGTCATGTATTGAGCATGTGGGTTGTACTGACATCTGCTGGGGTAGTTGGGTACTGTGTTGTGACCTGGATGTAAAATATATGAAGGCCAGAATAAATCAGTACTGAACGGAACATTCTGCTCCGATTGTTCTTGTTGGGTCTAGTATAAATTGAAGGAATACTACTGACACAACAAAAGTGGCGACGAGGATAAAACGCAGATGCCCAGCGGTTTTCGGAGTGTGAGACAGCACAGCCTGGTTTCTTCTGTGTGCCACAGTTGCAAGCTAGAGTCGGAGACTACGAGCTAACTTGCTGATCAGCGTTAGCTGACTGGAGGACAGGTTACGGCAGCGTGAGTGAGAGGCGACAGTGACTGTGAGTAACTGGGCTACGAGACTACGAGAGAAGTCCACATGGCGGGGATCATTGGGAGTATTGGTCCTTTCGACGAAAATACAGAACAGTGGAGCTCCTACACGGAGCGTTTCAATTATTTTGCGGAGGCTAATGACATTGATAGGGAGAAGCTTGTGCCAATGTTTTTAAGCGTAATGGGTGCTAAAACCTTTAATCTGCTACGTTCCCTTGTGCAACCTGAGAAGCCAGAAACTAAGTCCTATGACGCCATAGTAAACACTTTGGCAGCTCACTTCTCACCGAAACCCTTGGTAATTGCTGAGCGTTTTCACTTCCTTAAGAGAAATCAGGAGGAAGGGGAATCTGTGACCGTCTTTGTAGCAGCATTAAAGAAGTTAGCGGAATATTGTGAATTTAATGAGGTGTTGAAGGACACTATTAGAGATAGACTAGTGTGTGGGTTGAGGAGCGAGGCTATCCAGAAATGCCTGCTAACTGAAAGTGCACTAACCTTGGAGAAAGCCATTGAGATAAGTGTTTCCATAGAGTTAGCTGCAAAGGAAGCTCATCAGCTCAGCTCTAGTGGGAAACTAGTCTCAACTGAAAAAGGGATACAAAACAAATGCTATAGATGTGACAGACCAGGAGACTTTGCTGCAGAATGCTGGAGTAAAGATCTGGAATGTAGGAAGTGTGGGAAACAGGGACACATTGAACGGGCCTGCAAAACCAAATGGGGTGACAAAACTAAACAGGGTGACAAAACCCAGAGGAACAATAAAAGCAGGTTTAAAAACAGACTAAAACCTAGGAATGCTGTACATGTTG